TCCATCCAGGGGAGGGCAAGGACAGGTCTAGGGGCAGATCCGGGGGTCTGGCATGGCATCCTGTAGCTGGTCATACCTGCCTGAGATGCCCCACAGTTGGTGCCCATCTGTAACCCAATCACTTTCTTGCACTCTTGCAACTGGTTGCCTAAGAGGTTCTGAGGGTTCTCCATGGACTTCTTAGGAAACCCGCTGTGATCCCCAGAGAAAAGCCCATTGTCGGGGGCTACTGCCAGCCTGCCCAGGTTCATCAGTGTCTACTGTACACAAGCCATGTTCTTTTAGTCCCAGATGTCCACAGTCCGGAAAGATGGTGGTGGTGGTGATGCCCTAGCGCTCAGCTGTTTCCAAGCATAGAGACCTGCTCTATCTGCTTGAAGGCCATGGTGGAGGCCTGGATCTTCTTCAGTGGGACCTGCCCCTCAGGATACAGTCCGTTAATGAGCTCAGACGGCACCGTGCCATCCTAGACCCAGTTCTGGAAGTTCTCACGCTCAGGCTTGGGCCAGCCCACATCCCTGCGGCACTGGGCAGTTGATCCACTGGATCCGGATTTGCTCCAGGTCCGCATCGAACTCTTTTCTCAATCTTCTGCTGCGCCTCCCAGCACAGGGCGCAGGCAGTCCCCTGATGGCCATTCTGAAGGGTGGTGGTGACTGTGCGGAACCTCAGGCAGGGTGGAGAGGGCGCACTCCAGGCGGGGCTGCAGGGAGAGTCTGTATTATCTCTTTGAAACACTACACTATATTGCCCATCCTGGTCGCTTATTAATTCTAAATTGGGTGGTAGGTATATGAGTGTTTTGGGGTTTTTAAAAACCTTTTTGAAAGTCTAAAATATTTTATCATTTTAAATCTTTTGCCTTAACAAAAATTTATACCTTGAGAACAGTAAGCCGTTTAGATACCTATAGCTGACAAACGTTGGCAGACAGCATGCTATAATTTCTACTGCGAAGTTAAACAAGAAGAAAAAATAAACATCTGGTTTTTTTCCTTAAAGAGATATTTCAGAGAAGCATTTTGTTTTCTGTTTTGTAATTGGAGGTTGGCAAGTAGATGAAAAATATCAAAGGAATCTCTAACTATGAGTGGGAGTCACAAGCCAGCTGAAGGAAAAGAAAAATCAAACAGGTAACAGAAATGAGAAAAGGAGAGAAAGAGAAAGAAAAGTATGTATGTTGGAAAGTTGCAGTATTTATTTCCCTGTGGAATAACAGGTAGGGTTATTGCCTCAGTTGGTTATCATGAGGATGATAAATCCAGGGGCAATTTCAACTACCATTTCTGACCATAACCAACCCCTAATTTTAGGCAGCTTTAATTTGAATTTTTTTTTCTGTTTCTTGTT